AAATTTATAAAATGATACTAAAATAAGTCTAGCCTTTCACGACCGGACGAATGACCCGTAAATGCTACCAATACCCACAAGAATAACATCAATAAGGTTATCTTTAGGGATTAGATTACCAAGGGTAGCTATATGATTAGATAAGGCTTTTTCCTTTTATATATATGTAGAAATATCATTGTTGTCTCATCGAAGTCTATGAAATTGAGCTTTAGGTCGTTGAATTTAGGTTTTAGAACTTGAAGCTTAAGATGAATTTAATCTTTGCCATGTTTCTTTAGTAGTAGATGCACTAACAATATAGGTGAGAACGGATTCATTAACGGTGGAAATAATCCAAATGAGTACCGAGTTGGTCTTAATGGTACCAAAAAAAAAAAATAGGTAAGATTGGTTGTCTTGCCATCAAAAGTGGAAGAAGGAGGTGGCATAGTGCCATCATTGTGGTGAATAAGAGCATGGCCACATAAAAGTGGCGAAGTCGAGTCCGTTGAAGAAGAAAATTTGTAGAGCTTAGTTTAATAGGGAGTTGGTGAGAAATATTCGTGTGAGATGCAAGTGATAGGGTAGTAACAATAGAGACAAGTTCCTCAACACCTTCGAGTGTAAGTAGCCATGACGGCAAGAAAAAAGAAAATAATGAGAGTAGTGAACTAGGAAAGATCATGACTTATAGCAGGATTGTTGTTAACAAATGAGGGAGAAAAAAGAGGAAAAAAAAACTTATTTAGCCGACTCTATTTTTTCACTTTGATAAGGTAGGTTGGATGGGCGGATGCTATTGTATCACTTTGGGTATGTTATCTCACGGACAGTGGAGTAGTGAAATGAAAAAAAAAGGCTTGGTGGTTTCGGGTGGAATGACTTATGTAAGTGACTGGGAGGGGAAAAAAAGAACATACAAGTTGGCCGTCAAGCCTAATTTAGCTCTAACACCATGAAAAGGTTAATATTTTGCTAAATTCTACACTTTGTGATCTCTATATTTGCATATATAAGGTACATGAGTGTAGTTTAAATATTTGAAAAGAACAATCCTATCATTATCCGATATCTATAGAGATAACAAGTAATTTGAATACTAGAGTCTTAGTTTTGTAGAAATCATATGGTAACGCATTTGTTATCTTATCACTTTTTAAATGAAAAAAATACATCAATAAGTTATTGGTCAAATGATAAGTAGTTGGTTTTTAAGTAAATTTCCAATCAATATGCGAGTTTTAATCATGAAGTCATATTTGTTGAATATGATTAGTGAAAAAATGAAAAAAAAAATCACATTTTTTCATTATTTGATTTTATTTTAGTTGTTCTTTCTTCAATTTAGGCTTTGATTGTCAACACAATTAAGTCGTTTGTTTTATCTCCTTTCAAGTTAGGAGTTGTTTTCTTTCTTTCTTTTTTTTTTTCTCTCGTAATCTTTACAAGAGTTTATCGTTTTCATCCATTCAAATTTATCACTTTCATCATCTCTTTTTGTCTAGTAAAGCTTTTCTTTTTAATTATTTTTTTCCTTTTAGTTCTTCAAATTCCATTTTTTTAAATTTTTATTGTTATCATTAATATTTATTTTTTGAGTTTTTCTTATATCATTATCTTTAAACACTTACCCCTAGGGTAGGTAAGATTACAAAATTTGTGATTGATATCTTTTTCTTCTAATGAGTGATGATCCCAAACTTATATCAAGATAACTTATCACCAAAAATATGAATTTATTAATGATAACACATTTTAATATGAAACACATTAGAAGATACAACTTTCCTTCTCACTTTTTAGCAAGTCAAAGTTTTTTATGACCACTTATCTTGATGGATGTACTTTTATGACGAGTTATTTGCAATGTGGTTATGGATAAGTGGTCTTGGATGATACAACTTTCCTTCTCACTTTTTAGCAAGTCAAAGTTTTTTAAAAATAATATATTTAATCTCGGTTGATTTAAAAGTTTAATCCAAAACATCTACTACTTGTTAAGTTTATTCTTTTATATATATATATATATATATATATATATATATATGCATATATACATATATATATATAGCCTCCTAGCTACAAGGCATTTATTTGAAAGATTGTTTTATTTTGATATATTGTTATCCCTCCATCAATAAAATATTTTTATCGGTTTTGACAAAACAAAGTTCCTTTATACAAGGAATGTGAATTTTTTATTTTATTGACTAAAATGCTCCATTCTTATTATAAAATGGAATAATGTATCCTTGTTTTTATTAATAATAAGAAAATTATTTTGAGCTAAGTATGAAAATCATTAATAAATATGCATATGATGTAATTTTCTAGTAGAGATATTATTTACTTGGTAGTTATAATTAATATAATATGTACGTGCTTATGAACCTAATTATTTAGCAAAAAATACATTATATTCCAAATTAAATTCCATTAGTTTTAAGAATAAAATAGTAAATTTATTTAAATTTTCTCTCGTATATTTTTAAGAATGAACCAAACACACTATCATGAAATTTTTAATTTCAACTAAACACAACTATATATGACATTGTTGCCAGTTATATTATAAACAAACATTTAAAAATCTGCACATCAAAATTTTCCTAAATATTATTATATACTTCATGTCCAATTCTAACACTATGCAGTAAGAGTGAGAAAATAGTAGTTTCGTTTAGTTTTCAATTTACTGGATTCGATTTTTCAAACTCCAAGTCGAATTGAACTAAATTTACGAAAAAACCGGCTTATGTGAATAATATTTTTATTTTGTTGTTTGATTTTTAATTATTTTTCAAAATTTTAAATTTTTTATTATAAAAAATGAAAGAAAAAAAAAGAATTTGGTTTGTTTGATTGTTTAATTTTCAAACCAAATCGAAATCGAATCTAATGAATCAAATCATGGCAGTTTGGTTTGGTTTTGCTAACTCCTAGAGTGCAGGCTCGTTTACATATGGGGACCACCATCTAAAGCGACCAACGTAACGTTTGAATAGCCATTCCTACGTACCAATAATGTGTGTGTTTTCTCTCCACCTCGTTACTTAAAAAAGTATGGGCTTTGCAGGATTAACTCTTTTCGGGTTGACTATTCCTTTTCCTTTCAAACGTTGGACGAAGGATTAGCTATTCATGTTATGCGATGACTATGGTCTAGTCCTTCTCTTAAATAAAACATCTCCGAATATGCTTTGCCATCGGATTGGCTATTCTTCTCTCTTTCGAACGATAAAACTATGTTGGCCAAAAGATTAGCTATTCATGTTATGCTATGAACATGGCACATGCTTCTCTTAAATAAAATCATCTCCGAATATGCTTTACCAATACTCAACTTGTAATAAATGTTTTAGTTATGACGAGGGTTGTTATGGAACCATAAAAAAAGGTATTTCTAATTCATTAGATCGTGTATTTAATTTTTACCTTTAAAATGTATTTTTGTGAATTTAAAAAATCTAATTTTTAAAATCAATCGGATTCAAGATTAAATGTGATTTAACATATATAAATCTGGTCTGGTTAAAAAAATACTTCATTATCTGTCATGTTAAAAAATAAAAAAATTAATCTGACATTAACTTAACACTTAAAATAAAATTTAGCCAAGTTTTCGAATTTTGTGGGATTTAAACGTGTATTTGGAAGAAAGGGACAGCACATGTAGGTGGCACTAAGAAATTAAGCAGCCAATCCGATTATCGCAATTAGTCGTTTCCGTTTAAAGAATGAAGATGGCAACACAAATCAACCAAAAAATCCAAATCTTCGTGGTCCAGAAATTTTATAATATTAAAAGATTAATCAGAATAAGTTATTTCATATAAAAAATAGACATAAAAAAATAAAAGAGAAAAAAATTTAAATTTTTTTATAAATTTTAATATAATTTTTTTATATATCTATTTAAAAAAAAATAAATTCATAAACTATCTATTATACACAAACACTAATTATTCCTTAAAGATTATGAAATTCCTCCTTCCTAATCTATCCACACGTCTTCTTCCAACAGGAGTCTTCATATTCCATCTCCCTCTTCATCTCAACGCCTGGTGCGTGAGACTCTGCCATAAAGTTGGAAAAAAAAAAAAAATTCTTCATTCGTATATTATATACATCCTGCCCATCAGACTGCCAAATAAACAAAAACTAATTAATTTCAACCAAATAATTTAAATTGGTACTAAATAAAATCCTAAAAACGATTTTATATTAACTCTCTGTTATTAACAAAAATAGTTTCATATTTTATTCTCTTACAAATAAATTTTAAATTGTAAGTATGTTAATAACAATATTAATCATGTAAAATCATTCCTACATCTGGTTCATCTTTACAAATGAAAAATTTGAAAATCGTTGAAGAGGTTAATCAATGACATATAATGTTTTTAAGCATTCTTTATGCCCGAATTATTTACGAATGAGAGAAATTTTATAATATTTAAAAAATAATTATCATATTTTTTTTATAATATTATAAAATTTTTCGCATGATAAGGGAAGAGCGCGTGAGGGAAGCGCTTGATCACAGGCGGAGGGGAGAGCGCGTGAGGGAATTTATTTCTGAAACCAAATTTTATGTGAATTGCTACATGCTAATAGAAGCAAACCACGTTTGCGCTATCTCGAACCTAACAGAAACACCTTTTTGTGGCATTTCCACTTCAGTGGAATAGCGACACCACATTGAAGGCCTAGACCACCTGTACCCCTCCTTTCGGCAATGCTCTACACTTTACGATCTCTTATAGGTTCCTTCCTCAACGTTCTCAAATTCTACGCTACTTTTTTCCTATTAGTGACCCCACCTATTCCAAGAATTTCTGTCCAATCACAACATCTCCTAAATATCCGTTGCTTGCCCTAACACGTGTTGCTTTTACACCTTCTCAACGTATAACCTATGATTATCGCCTGAGCTAAGATACCTACAAACGCTGAGAGAGACAGACCCTCATATAAAAGATTGATGCAGAGGTAAAGTTAAAAAGAGTGAAAAGGAAATGGATGGTGGTAATGGGTTGCGTGTAATAAGAGGATCTGCAGCTGCTGCTGATGCTTGTGGTATTGTTGCTGCTGGTGCTCAGGATAAAACGATAATCAACCGGATAATGCTCAGATTCCGACCGATTGCACCGAAGCCGGCTGACGGTACTGATCTAGATTCTGGCTCTTCAATGGTTGGAAACAAAGATTTGTTAGCTTTCAAGAAAAGAAGAAAGAGAAAGTACGTTAGGGTTTGTAAGAGTAATAGCTTGAAGAAAAACAAAAGGGTATTAGTAGGACCACCATCGGATCAAGAAAGGGAAAAAGAAGGAGAAATAGGAGGAGCTGATTTCAACAAGGTTGTTACTTTACAGTTATTACCGGATGAGAGAAGTGAGGTGAAGGAGTCACGAGAAAGAATGGGAAACACATGGTGCAATAATGATAATATTCAAGATCTTGCAGTGGATAATACTAAAGAATATTCTGATGATCAAGAAAGACAAGAGCAACCCATGTGGTTTAAGTTAAAGCAGCAGCCCATGATGGAGGGTTGTGGCAAGCAAGACCAGTTGTTTGTGATGGTTCCTCAAAAGAGGGAAACTACTGTAGTGGAGTTCTGGGTGACAGTAGAGTGCGTGACAGACATATACAGCACATGCATGGATGGACGAGCTATATCACTAGGGTCTACGGACGTTGAGAGAATGAGGAATCTGGAGGAGGACACGTGTCCCGGATTCATATCGGACGGTTTGAATCACGTACCATGGATAAATGGGGCTTACAAGAAGATGGTGGAGATGGTGAAGAAAGAAGATGATAAAGAGATAGCGCAGCTGTATAATACAGCAGAAGTAATGATTCGGTTGGTGATAAAGGAAAAGTTGCTGCCTTTTGTCGCCTGTTCCTCTGCATTTAGCTGCTGGGTTACGTTGCAGAATGCGTGGCAGAAAGAGAAGTGTTCACAGATGGTGGTTCCTTGCGATGTTTGGAGAATGGATTGTGGAGGGTTTGCATGGAGGCTGGATGTTGAGGCTGCCCTCAGTTTGGGCCGTTGATGTAGACTACAGATCAAACTTTGGAACCGACAGAAATCAATCAGGTAATTAATTAATTAATTAACGTGTGGAGTATTGATTTTTTTTTTTTAAACCACAAAATGAGGAAATTAATACGAATGGGTTATAAAGTGAGCACAAAATGAGATCAATAGTCAAGAAACAAACTACCATCGACAGAAACCAAAAGCAGTACAGTAATATGCTTAAAAAAGTGGGTATGAATTAGAGCAATGTGGCAAATAAGACTCGGTAGGAGAGGAACCCCGTACTTATTTAATATCATTCATTGCCTGAGCCCCTTAGCCATCTTTTCATTAAATGTAGCTATTTTATTGGCTTGGGGAAGATATATCTAGGAATTGGTGAAAACAAAAGCTGAAAAGAAAACAAGGAGGAACGACAATAGGTGCAGGTGGACGAGTGCCTGGGCTCTAACAAAAGTAATAAACTAAAATAAATACTAACCACAGAATTTTGTCAACCAACTGATCTTTTTACTAATCATTTTTTTTTTTACAATGTCCAACCAGGACACACCAGCAGAACATCTATATTGGTGAGAACTACACAGCATTGGTGTCATTTGGTCAAAGAAAAAAAAAAAAAACTACAGTTTCATCGTCATAAAAATGGGTAATATATATCATTACATCTCAGAAGGTTGCATCAGAAACTTACTGGGTGTTTTCTGGTGCTCTTCAGGTAAATAAAAGGGAGTCAGCTGGCCCACATTCTCGACCTCTCAGGTTCGTATATCTACTTACTTAATTACTTATATGAGGTCTTGCATGCTTAAGCAATGTATTCATTACATAACTAACTAACAACGTACGCAACTAAATACGAACATTTTGATCGCCAACCTAAATTATTCCTTCACATTTTTCTTTAAAAAGGAAGACTCGGTGTTCCAAGCACAAATGCAGGTAAGTATGGACATTTGAGTGAAGTTAAGAAGAATATATAAATAAAGTATGCACACAAATTCTTCAAAGATAATAATAATTAATAAAGAGTTTATGTCTCAGGTGTACGCACATAACACCAATAATAGTAAATATTTTCTCTAAAACTTGAAAATCTAAATTTTAATGTCCCATTACCTCATGGGCAATATTAACATTGCCTACTAAGTTATGCACCGGAATCGAACGACAAATTAATTGGACTTCAAAGCAGAGAATGTATTGATTCACAAACTTCCTAAATAATAATTCTTCAAATTAACAGGATATAAAGCATCATTTTGTAGTAAAATGACTCCTAAAGGTGATGGGCCGGTATATATAACTTTGTGAAGAAAAAAAAGTGATATATATATTCAAAGAAAATATTAATGTACACTAATGTAGTTATTTAACAAAGGATTGGACTTTCTTATGGCATTACAAATTTCTGTTCACAATCTTTCTTTCCATATAATATAAATATTGACCTATGTTCATGGACCACTAGTCATTTTTCATTTATAGTTATATATTTTGATCAATATCTTTCCTCTTTTTTCCAACGTAATTAGTATTTTTTTTAAAAAAAATGTTTTCTTATTCTATGTTATGGTTGAAACTAACATTAATCTAAGTCAGTGGCGGAACTACGTTGATTGGTTGGAAGAGGGCATGGCACCCCGAATTTTTTTGAAGAAAATTATAATTTAGTCCTGAGCTTTTGAAAGTTCTCAATTATGATTTTCAATGCTATGTGTTTTGCACCCTTAAAAATCAATTATTTTTCTTATTCACTCCCTCACTTCTAGATATTTATGCCCCGCCGCCCCCAAACAACCAATCCGAATGGTAAGGATGGTAGTGGGGGTGTGCAAGGTAAATTCCACCTCTAAACTTGAGATCTATTTAGGAATAATACTCTGCTTTGATTCCTTTGCCATCTCTAATGAGTGGACATGCCATTTTAAACTCGCCTAACTAATCAAATATAAAAGTGTAATTCTTTAAAAAAAAATAAAAATGAAACACTGAGATTGAATCAATATATGTTCAACTCTTTCCAATCTAATTCCCAAAAGAAAAAAAAAACCAACAATATATATATATATATATATATATATATATATATATATATATATATATATAAAGGTTTGGTAATTCAGTAACACGCTATATGTAAATTAGAAACAAACTACATAATTTTTGAAGAATTTAAAAAAAAAAAAAAAAAAAAAAACCTATTTCCCTCTAAAATGTTTAAACTCTCCTCCTCAAATCTTTAAACAATTTCTTACATTTAACCTTTATACCAAACCCACACCCTTGGAAGTGAATAAAAAAGAAGATATTATATGGGACTGGATATGCTTCCAAGCATTAACCCAACTTGTAATCCAACTATTGAAGTCAGATTTAATTCTTCGGAAAGGATAAGAACAAGAAAGAAATATATATTGCTAGTATCTAGCTGACTCACTATTCTATATTCTGCATACTTAAGTTGATGGAACAATGACGGATAAAGCTTCCTTTTTAATTCGTTACACGCCATCCATATTCATCCAACCTTTATTACTATACACACACACACACATACACATCAACTATTTTTGATTCATATACACAAGCTCTTCTTATAAGGGAGATAATTTCTTGACACTGACAGGAAAAGAGTTGCTAGGCAAAAGCCATGGAAGTGTATATATGACTTGCACTGAAGTTGTTGAAGGAAGAACAACCAAGGTACTCCATGTTCAAGTAAAGATCTGCAGTTCAGTTCAGGAGATGCATAGATTAAAGGTTGACTGTACTCATAAATCTGTAGACAGACAACGTACGTTAATATTTTCAAGACACTTAATTTGTAGAAACGGGTTGTTAACACAGCATACATCGCAACTTGTCTCTTGGAGTAACATACCCATTGCGTGCCATTTCCTTTTTTACCTTTAATTTGTGCCTTCATGCTTTTTGTCATGAATTTAAAGGAAGCCACATAAATTGGTGAGTTGTTGTTGCCATAATATTGATCAATTGCATATACATTTCTAGTGAGTTAACTTTGATCAGATTCCACGGATTAAGAAAAAAGGATTTTATGAATTAACGATATTGGTTATTTTTTATGAGCTCACTTGCGGGTAATTATGGGACTGCTTGGGAATGTGTCCTTTTTGTCCATAATCATTTATAATATTTGAATGTTCAATATATACTTGGAATTGAAAAATAGATATCTTGATATATACATGTATTTGGGATACAAGGGTATATATAGAAATTTACAAAACTCGTATGGATAGAATCTAAGGATTATTTGAATTGTAATTTGAATTTAAGTTTTGAATAACCTAATCTTTATCGCTTTCCCTTAAGTTGACGGAAGATGGAAGGACTCGTCAACTTATGTCCGAAGTGGTGGAACTTGTATTTGAATGTTAGCTACGTTAGGATGTTTGCAATTCGATCATTAATACACATGTAAGAAACTTGAAGTTCCCTCAGCGATCACTTTGTCGTGGACAAAATGAAAATCAATTTCCAAGTGTTTGGAATGAGAGTGGAAAATGGGATTAACTATGAGATGGGTTACGTTGATGTTGTCACACCATAAAATTGGAGCGTGTAATAATGTAAACCCCGAGTTTTTGAAAAAATGAGCAAATCTATGGGACTTTAAATAAGGTTACAGCGAAGAGCTCTATATTCAACCTCTATGAATGATCTTGCTACGGTTAGTTGTTTTTGGGAGCACCGGGAGATTAAATCGGAGCGAACATAAATAGCAAAGCTAGTTGTTGATTTTCTATCATTGGGACAACCATCCCGGTCGGCATCATTGTAAGTTGAAATATGATAGGATGGATTTCTATAAAAACAAGACCATGATTATATGAGTGTTTAAGTTTTTGAAAAAAAAAACCTAGAGAAAAAAACTCTCCTTGCAACTATGATAACTCTATATTTCTAGTAGCCTCGTTGTCATTGGATTTTCCCTCATGGGAGACACATTCTCTATCACTCCTCTACCCCTTAAACATCTACCTCACCATTATCACCATCTTATCCCTCAAACCTTTACCTCAACTTCGTTTTAGCTCAAACCCTAATATTACTTATGTAGCTACTGCGATTAATAGAATTGAAACCCAACATTACTTTCCTTCCCTTACCATTACTCTCAAACCCCCATCCTTATTCGAAGGTGAACCGACGAACGAGTTTTTAGTGCCGGATCTACAAAAGTCCTAAAAAATATGTGAGTTCACTTTGATGGCTAAATTCTTTAGAGGTCGTCCCCTATTACCACCATTAAAGCTCATATTCAGCGAGTAATGGGATTTATCGAAACACCAATTGTTGGTTTGTTTGACTCTCCTCGCAGCTATGATAACCCTATATTTCCAGTAGCCTCGTCGTCACCTGGATGTTCCCCTATCGGAGAGACATTCTCCATCACTCCGCCACCCCCTACATATCTACCTCACCACTATCACCATCTTATCCCTCAAACCTCTACCTCAACCTCGTTTTAGCTCAAACCCTAATATTACCTATGCGATTGCTATGATTAATAGAACTAAAACCCAACATTACTTCCCTTCCCTTACCATCTCTCAAACCCCCATCCTTCTTTGAAGGTGAACCCGCAGATAGAGTTCTCGGTGGCGGATCTACAAAAGTCCTAGAAAATATTTGAGTTCACTTTGGTGGCTAAATTCTCTAAAGGTCATCCCCCATTACCACCATTAAAGCTCATATTCAGCGAGTAATGGGATTTATCAAAAACACTAGTAGTTGGTTTGCTTGACCCATGCCATGTATTAATTTGCATGCTCTCTAGAAAATATTTCATTAAGGCCTGGTCTCGGGACAATCACTTAATTGAAAACTCTTTTTTTCAATTGTTCAAATGGGATACAACCTTCAATAAAAAATTTGAATATTTAGTGGCTATAGTTTAGATCAAACTTTCAAGCCTCTTTTTCCTTTCTTCCTTTCAACATTCGTAAAAGAGATCATTCATCTTTTTGAGAACTTCTTATGTCT